GCGTTATCGCACTTCAAATCGCCCGCCCTGGAAACGGGCCCCGTGACATAAGCGGTTACCTTGCCAAACGGTGTCCGCCTTTGCTGCGCGGCCGCCGACACTAGCAGCGCACGGTGTAAGATTAACCCCCGTATTCTAGAACGTCCCTTCACTCAACGCTTCACCTTCACTTGATGGATGGATGGATGGATGGATGGATGGATGGATGGATGGATGGATGGATATGGCTGTACCCTTTAGATCGGGCGGTGGCTAGCGCCACCAAGCCGTAATACTTAGTGAACCCAAAACTGTATTTATTTTTTTTTCCTTAAAAAGTGAGTTTGACGATTCGTACTTTGCAGTGAAGAGTTTAATTTTCACTCGTGCCTTGACTTTAGCCACCAATCAGATAACCTCCTTCTAGTTAAGTCTACTTGCTTAAAGTCTATTTTGCCCTCTCGGTCCCTAAACCCCAGTGCTTTGAAAAACTCTGCGCCATCATCCTGAACTATAGGGTGAAGCCCTTTACAGAACATTATCAAGTGTTCGGCAGTTTCTTCTTCCTCTCCACACGCACTGCATACTGTGTCTACCCCTTCGTATTTGGCCCGATATGTCTTGGTTCGCAGTACTCCCGTCCTTGCGTCAAACAGTAGAGAACTACCCCGAGTATTATCATAGATCCTTTCCTTGGCGATTTCCTACTTAAAAGTTTGATAGATCTCTAGTGCGGACTTCTTAATCATGCCCATTTGCCACATGTCAGTCTCCGTTTCCTTCGCTTTCTTCTTAACCGATAGTTCTTTTTGGTTCGGCCACCTGCTGTTTTCTAAGTATTTACCAGTCAACTTCCTGGTTCGCTTCCTCCATTTTGTATCGACATTCTTCATGTACAAGTAGCTGAAAACCTTCCTAGCCCAACGCTCCTCCTTCATTTCTCTCAATCGCTTCTCAAATTGTATCTTAATTGCTGCTAGCTTCCCTGCCCTCAAATGATGTCCATCCCATATCACCTTGTACTCCCTGATTTGGTGTATTCCCGTGAGCTCCTAAAGCAAGCCTACCTATTCCACGTTGCTTAATTTCTAATCTTGCTTGAACTTCTGATCTCATGCACAAGACCGCATTGCCGAACGTCAGCCCAGGAACCATGACCCCTTTCCATATTCCTCTCACAACATCATACCTATTGTAATTCCACAGTGCCCTATTTTTCATCACTGCTGCATTCCTGTTACCTTTAGTCGTCACGTATATTTGGTGTTCCCTCAGGTACTCGGTCCCATTGCTTATCCATACGCCCAGATATTTGTATTTATCTGTTATCTCTAGCGTGACCTCCTGTATCCTAAGCTCACTACCTTCGTTGTCATTGAAAATCATGACTGCTGATTTTTCCTTACTGAATCTAAAATCTAACCTATCTCCCTCATTACCGCAGATGTCCATCAATCTCTGCAAATCTTCCATGTTGTTGGCCATTAGCACTATATCATCTGCGTACATTAATGCTGGTAGTGCCTGATCAATAAGTTTTTCTTGTTTGACTAAACAGAGGTTGAAGCCCAGCCCACTTCCCTCTAATTTTGCCTCTAATCCTTGTAGGTACATCATGAATAAAAAGGGTGACAGGGGGCACCCCTGCCTTAGCCCCCGTTTTACCTCCGCAGGCTTGGATACCTGTTTTTCCCACTTTATAACTACCTTGTTACATTTATAGATACCCTTTAAAAGATTGGTGACTACATGTTCCACGCCTAGTTTGTCCAGTATTCCCCACAATTCCTCTTGAACCACGCTATCGTACGCTCCCTTGATATCCAAGAATGCTAGCCACAGGGGCCTGTGTTCCTTTTCTGCTGTTTTGATGCACTGGGTCAGTGAGAACAGATTGTCTTCCAACCTCCTGTGTTTCCGAAACCCATTCTGCAGTTCCCCCAGCACCCCCTCATCTTCTATCCATGCCTGCTGTCTTTCCTTTATAATCTGCATCGCCAGCCTGTAGACCACTGATGTCACTGTTATAGGACGGTAGTTGTTTATGTCAGCTTTGTCCCCCTTTGCTTTATAGATCATGCTCATCCTCGTAAGTTTCCATCCATCGGGAACTTCACCATCGATTATTATTTTGCTTACTGCCTCTCTCAAAGCCTGCTTAGACTTCGGACCTAATGTCTTTATCAGCCTAATTGGAATGCCATCTGGGCCTGTTGATGTACTACTAGGAACCCTTTTCTCAGCCCTTTCCCACTTTCGTTGTGAAAATGGAGCCATTGCACCACTTGATTCGTCCTTGTCTATTGTGGTGCATAAAGTACTTTTTTGTTGAAATTTTTTCGTCGCCCTTGTTCTTATATATTCAATAGCTTCGTCCCCTTCTAGCCTGGCACCTTGGGCTGTAGTTATAAAACTCTGCTCTAGGCTCGTCTCATTTCTTAGGGAGTTTAGATGGTTCCAAAATTTCGCAGCTGCCTTTCTATCTTTTTTATGTACTTCTGCCAGCCACTGAGCTCCCTTTCTTCTAATCTTTTCATTGATCAGAAGGGATACAGCCCTTCTACAGCTTAGAAACGTTTCCAATTTTCTTTCAACATCATCTGTCGGTTCACCCAGCTGCTTAGCATGCCTGTGTTCCCTAGAGGCTTCCTGACGTTTTGCTATGGCTCTCAACTTCCTCATCCCACCAACTTTTGGGTTTGTGTCTTCTTTTCCGGGGTGACTTGTTACCCCTCTTAGCAAGCTCTAGCTCAAAAAGTCTAATTAGATTCGTGTATGTCCACACTGTCTTACTATTCTCCGTGATTACTTTCTCAATTTTTTTAGTGACTATTTCAATTTGCCTTTCTGAATAAAAATTTTCTTGTAATTGCTCATCTTGTCTCCTTCCCACTTTCACTGCTCTTCCAAAACTTAGCTTGATACGTTTGTGATCACTACCCAGACTTCTGGAGCCACCTTCATCTATGTGCATTTCCCTGAGCTTATCATACATCCTATGTGACATCAGTGCATAATCTATCGTCGACTGCAGCCTTCCTACCTCCCATGTTACTTGCCCTTCACACTTCTCGGTACTGTTGCAAATGATCATTTTGCCTGTCGGGTCAGTATACCCATCTATATCTTCTATGTGCGCATTCATGTCTCCTTGTATAATTATCTCGCACTCTCTTCCTAACTCCTGAATGTCCTTTAATATACACTCTACCATTGCCTGGTTTTCCTCTCTGGCCTTTGCTCCCGTCCACAAGTACACGAAACCAAGGAGTGTCATTTGACCTGCCACTTTCCCTTTTAGCCATAAATGTTCCTTGCACTCTTGCTTGACCCTTTGCCAGTCTGTACTTTTATGAATGAGAAATCTGATGAGAACGCCGTCTCTAGGCACGCCAAGTCCCTGCATATCAGCGGCAATCTGCTGCGATTCTTGAGTAGCGCAGCGTCATCTTCAGCCAAACGGTGGCGCAGTGCTCAACTCTGTCAAGTGAAGGCTGAAAGTCGAGTCGAGGAGCGTTTGTGAATACGGGGGTAAGTTATTTTTACACCGTGGCAGCGGCAGAGTGAAAGTCACGCGGGCCACCTCGGCAACGAAGGTCATTTTGGAGATTACCGCAACGGGATTCGTCAGTGGACCTGAAAACGAGACATGGGCTGGCGCAGAAGCGTGGCACTCGGCCACTACGAGCATAGACGTTCGTTTTTCACCACCGAGAGAGAAGGCACTTCGGTTTCTTTGCTGCATCTCAAGTGTTGTACTCCATTCGGGTATTCGGCAGGATTCACGGGGCATTTTTTACGAACTTTCCGTCACACCAACCTCGGTGCGCGTGCACAGCAGTTCGCGATACCGAAACTACCACTCGTCGAAATGAGCGCTTCGCGTAGTTCGCCGAAAACAGAATTTTTGGTCCCACTTGCGCCATTCGACTCAAGTGGCAATGCCAAGCGGTTATTTTTCCATGAGTCGAACAGAAACGGACAAACAGCATTGTATTATGTGTTGTAATGCATGGAAGGTTGTTCTTTATTGCTACTGGTTTGTATAGTAGTCATTAATTTTACTAGGGAATTTTGACATCATTGTAATTATTTCAAAATGTCTCACTCGTGGTGGTATTGTACATTTACCTTAACACCTCAATCAATCAGTAGAACTCTGCTGTTGATAATGTTAACGTTTTTCCATTCTTAAACATTGATTTTTTTTACATAAATTGTTATTTGCCTTTAGTATCCTTTTTGGTTCGACGGCCATGGAAGTTTGAAATTATTGTGTTTACGGAACTTGCAGTCAGGTATGGAATAATCATCTAGTAAATGGAAAGCATCACCACAGCCAAACTAACTCATCATTCAGTGGTATTATACTTGGCATGTGTCCATGCTATGAAACTGCAATTGCAAACTGGAATAAAGGATGATAGGAAGATGTCTTGCTATGGTGTTTTTGCAGCTGTGAGTGGGAGGTTATATAATTAAATAAATTTTGCATTTCATGTGCAAATTCATATTTTTGCCTATACATATGCTAATTCGAACGGTCTCTTCATTTTCAGATTGTGCTGAGCATTTGGTAACAATGAATGAAAGGCCTTTGTTGCATTGTGGATAAGCTATTAAATGGTTTAACAAATCAATCTTTTGACCTACATCATTTTATCTATGCTTTCTCGACCTGTACATTTAAATTGGTTGTTTTGTAGGTGTTTTTTTTTGCTACACTGTTACTTGAATCTTGTTAATGCAAGGTTTTTAAGTCACTTTCTTTTCACACATTAAAACGTGATTACTGTTATGATGAGCTCACTAAAAAGTAGCTGGCATTCGTGAACATGACTTGAAATGATGCATTGATCAACTAGTTGTCTTTTGTACTCTAAATTGAGGCAGTGTTTACGTAACCTCTTTTGCATGAGTAAACTTATTGTTAATATTTGACAACACCTTTTTGTTGTGAATCTTTCTGCGCTTCTAGGTAGGGAAAAAATATTTCTCTGATATCTCGCTATATTTTTCAGAACGCCTGTCATGGACCTGCTGGTCCAGGTGGCCACTGCCCACAAGATCAATCCTAGTGGCTATCTAGTGCAAGCACCAAACGAGCGGGGAGACATGCTCACGTGCAAGCCCAACACAGCCATTGGCTCGCTTGATGTGAGTCACCTGCTGATCGTGCCCAAAGGGGCCCCGGCTGTGTCTGGCAAAGTTGCCGATCCCGCATACTGGCACAGGAAAGGCGTGAGGCCCCCTTCTAAGCCATTCGAGGTGAGAAGGAGAACAATTCAGTAAACCAGTTAAGTGTTCTACTGCAGAGCCACACAGTTGCTTAAGCTCCTTTAAGAAATACCCTGCACATGCATCATGTCGGGCAAGGAATCATATTGTCACGTGCGTCCCAGCCTCGACACCTTTGTCTGTCAACATTTGCTCTACCCTGTCACCCTGGGATACCCAGCACCTCCACCAGTGTCACGACGTGAATACAGAGGTCATATTTGAAAAAGCTTAGAAAGCAGCAGCGGGTCGATCTTTATCGTTAGAGAGTTGCTCGTCTTTCTCGTTGCGTTTTGCATAAAAGCGTGTAGATGGGCGTATGCACTGTCGCCTTCGTCTTTCTCGCAGGACGCACGTGACAATATTAACAGATGTAATGTAGCATGATAGAAGATTAAAATAACACCAGGCATCAGACAATATGAATTGCGCAACCAGAAGGCGGTTTAAAACTTCACAAACGGCTCAGCCATAATCATAGATCAACAAACACACTCGCTAGTCGACTCACTCAGGCTCTGATTGAGCTGTGAGTCTGAGTGTAAGTGAGTCTGGGTGAGTAATACCTTGATGAGTTTGAGTCGGAGGGAGTCAGGCTGAAATAACTTGAGTGTGGGGGGCAAAATATATTTCATGAGTGAGTCTGAGTGAGCTGTGCATTTTTATGCTGATCTATGGTGAGAACTAATGAACTTCTGCACAAACGGCTCAGCCATAATCATAGATCAACAAACACACTCGCTAGTCGACTCACTCAGGCTCTGATTGAGCTGTGAGTCTGAGTGTAAGTGAGTCTGGGTGAGTAATACCTTGATGAGTTTGAGTCGGAGGGAGTCAGGCTGAAATAACTTGAGTGTGGGGGGCAAAATATATTTCATGAGTGAGTCTGAGTGAGCTGTGCATTTTTATGCTGATCTATGGTGAGAACTAATGAACTTCTGCTGTAGTGTTATGAACCGTATGTCGGCTCGCGTTTAGATTTTTTTATTCTTGCACTTACTTCAGCGGATTAGCATTCAGAGAACAGCTCAATATTTATTTATTGGAGGCATCAGCCACGAGCGAGTGAAGTGCCTCGACCTCCCTCAGCAACCTTTTTCATAGGAATTTGTGGTAAAAATATCTTGCCTGTCATCTCTTTCTATAAAACTGCCCCTATTGGACTGCAGCCACTGATACCTCGTATTTAAATGTACAAGATTAATACCCGTGCCACACAGGCAGAGAAAATGGCATTTACCCCCGAATGCCTTCAGATTTATTGCCATTCGCGCGGTGCCACACGGGCGAACGAAATGGCATTCGTCCGAATGCCATTCGCCACCAAATGCCTTCGCCAGAACTCAGTTGACTGAGAAATGCCTACTCTCGACGACACAACTCGCGAAGTGCGATTTACCTTAACGTAAATAAAAGAAATCATATTCAGCTAAAAATAAGAATTCCCGTTTTTTATCTGCACTAAACTCTTAAAAAAGTGCTTTGAACGTTATACGAAGATCAGTTTGAAATGGTTTGAAATTAATTGAAGTTTAATGTCCTGAAGCTGGCGCATAATAACTTGTCTCTGCTCCAGAATTACTCGCTCTTGAGCACGATGCTTTACACTGTAACACACGAATGCTACCGTGAAAAAATGAACTCTGCGAACATTTTCTGAGAGATGCGACAGGTACAATGCGACAGGCGCCATTTTCTATTTACGCTGTGGATCTGACTATTGTTGGCTTAGGTTGCTACGGTCGGCTGCAACGTCATAAAACAAAGCAAGAAACTAAAACTAAGGGTAGCGTAATATGCTTATTTCTTCATTTAATGATTATCTAATGTGTATGAACCTTGTAAACGCTTGTTTATTTTTTAATGCTATTCACCTAATGCTCACTTGGAAGGTGCTTCGATTGACATCATCAAGTCAAATGACATTCGCTTTGGACCTGCAGCAGCGCCGCCGAAAAAAATGTCATTCGGGAACTGAAGGCCTTCGCCACCAAATGTCATTTTCTATGCCCGTGTGGCACGGGTATAATAGGTGCCTAGTGGAGCACTGATTATGCAAGATATTACTGTTAAAGATAATTTAAAGTTCGGTCTAAAAAGTTACATGTACGCTGACAAACCCATGAGTCGACATACACAGGCCTCATGGATCCCCTGAGGTCAAGTTGTGAGTCGAGGCGCATTTGTGAATACGGGCCTCATACTCAGACCAAGCCGTGGGTTGGCGTCGGTGAGTGATTTCGGGTCACTAAAGTTATGGTGAGTTAGAGCCCGAGTGAGTTCGGTTGAGAAAAAATCGTATTGAGCCCTAGTCCGAGTGAGTCCGCGTGAGGAAAATTGTGATGTGTGTGTGTTCGAGTGAGTTCTTGAGGCAAGATATATTTTATGGGTGAGTCCAAGTGTGTTTGACATTTTTTGCCGACTTATGGTCATAGTTATTCATCATCATCAGCCACAGCATCAACAAAGTGCATGTTACAGACACATAAGGCGCATCTCGCTTCTCTGCAGAACAATGAATAATGACATAGTGGGTACTTCCCCACTTTGCAAAATCATTCTGATTTACGCTGTAGCGGGTACCTTGCAATTGTACTTGTAGTAGCCGTCCTATAATGCGACAGAAGGGGCCAGTTCCTTGGTTCTCTGCAGGATTTTCTCTTGGGGTGTGCAAACCAGTGTTGAATTGCGGCTTGGGGAGGAGGGAGAGCACTGGTGTAGCTTGGGTGCGGGCAAGTGCTTGTGAGGATTGAGGGGTGCAAGGCGCCTTTTGTACTGCCACCTGCCGACGCCCATGGCTAGTTTGTTCATGTTGGGTTAGCTGATACGCCTATGTGGGGAAGCACTGCAAAGACGACAAGAAATAGTTTAACAGAGCAAGTGCAACAGTCCCCCTTAGAGATTTTTGTAGCAGGACCGCTCCTCCAGCTTTCGCTGAACTGCACGGTGTAAGTGTTATGCACAAGCCTTGTGTTTTTCTCAGTAGCCTGATCTTTTTTCAGTAGATCTGACTGCACACATGTCACTGAGCGCTTGTTCCTATAGAAGTTATCAGTGGGCTCCCCGGCGTACTACTAACTGCCTGTTTCCTCCTTTTTGCTTGTTAGGCCAATCTCTATGCATATTCATCTTGTAAATTAGGGCACTGGTACAAGGTTTGATTTCCGGACATGAGGAAATCTTTCTTCATTTTTTTGTTTTTTTCCCTTCCAGAGCAATCATATCGACTCTGAGTAGTATTAAAAGCTGGGAAAGTTAGTAAAGATTCATAGCTGGTTCGAGGTAAACAGGGCGAACAACGAAGGCAGAGGAATCACTTCTTAAATTCTTGTTGTATAGGCTCTTTCTATATGTACTGGATGCCCAAGTAGTATGTTCACAATTGATGAAAGGAAAAAAACATAATATGATGATGGTGAAATAACATCAGTTTTAAGTGTGGTATTACAGTGGATTACGTGTAGGTCATCTGTTAATCAAGTTGCATTTTATTTGTATGTCCTCGTGTTGACTCACTTTACGGAGATACAGTGATAATAGTGCGATTCCATCATTTTCATTCCGTATTTACATTTTCAAACATTACCCTGAAGTGTCCCTTGCAGGCCTGATAGAAAATTTAGGGTAATCTCTGAAAGGATTGAGATGCTGTGCCATCCAGGGAGCATTTTGCAAAAAATTTCTCAAACTAGGTAATTCTTCGTACATTCTACAAGAAATTGAACCATCTTCTCATGAAGCTTTATAGAGTTGAGCTTCACCGCCATACCCGACATTTCTCTCTTACGCTTGCATAATCATTGCTCTTTCTTGGCTCATCAGGAAAAACTACCATGTGCAAGCTACAATGGGCATTGAAAGTAGATGCCTCAATTTTGTTGCACATGGTGTTAGAAAAAATTAAAAACTTGAAAAACTGGGAGAAGCAAGAAGCTGACACACTGTGTGGCTCCTTGCGCTTCTATCTTCATCATGAATTACAGGCATGTACAAGGTTTCCACACTTTATAACGTCATGTTTAATGTTTTCTTGTGGTCAGTACAGCTCAGTTGTGGGTGCACACTCAAACTTCCCGTGTCTTTCTAGTCTTTCTTGGGGCACAAGTGGACATTTTCTTTGTTGTATCACTCCTTTTTGTACTAAATATTATTTCCTGGTATGCAGCCCACACAACGCATCCAGGTACGCCTACCCCGCCAGCAGCTTATGGTTCTGCGGTTGCCGCTGACGACAACACTGGGGGAGCTCCGCCAGAACGTCTGCACGGAGAAGAACCTGGATCCCCAAGGGTATCAACTAGTACGGCCGGGCATCCCAACTCGTCCCCTGGACCTCGGCTGTACCCTGCAAGAGTACGGAGCTTCCGAGGTTACCCTGCTTTCCAACCGCAGTACGTTCCCCATTCTTGTCTGTCTAGGAAACTCTCCACCAAGTATTGGTAGTCGGACATCTTTGCTTTTTAACTATAGTGAAATCTCGATACTGTTTTTCACAGGAACCAGAAATAAAACATAAAATTAAACGTAAATTAGGCACTGTATCAGCAGGATTCCACAGTACTGACTACAATTGTCATTGAATTTAGAAAGAATATGTCTAGTTTTTCTCATTTGTTTTACGTTTTTTTTTCAATGCAGCTCTTACTTATCAATTCGACATGAGATTACATAGCGAGTAGTTACTTTGTGCCTATGTGTCTGTAGTAGAAAAGAAGGGATATGCTTCGAGGGGCTCATTTATGTGCTAGGCATAACCAGTGAGACCCACTGATAAATGATTGAAACATAGGGAACAATTTTTGTTGCTTCTAACTGAAGTGTGGTTATGGCAAACATGATATAAATGCAAAAAAAATAAAGTGTACAAAAAGAAACCTTGCCACCCAGAGGAACTAAACCTTTCACTTTTGGATAACACACCCATTGCTCTACCAATTAAGCTCCGTCAGAAGACCCTTCCCTGTCTACTTTTTTGAATTATTGCATACAGTCGAACCACACTACAACGAAACTGACGATGCACTGAAATAGTTTCTTGAAAGCAAAAGTTTAGTTGTAGTCAAATAAAAGAAATATATATATAGCAGACCTGAGCTAGCAGAACAAAGGAACCTTTATTCTCAAATTTCAAAAAGTGTCGGCTGCTTCTTTTTCTTTCCCTGCAGTGTCATGACGCGATTCTCACCCCTGCATAATAGCGACGATATGGTGAAAAGCACGCTGAAACAACGGCTCTATTGGCTTTCGTGAATGAACTTAACAGTTGTGCTAGCACGGTAACACCACCAGCTGTCCGCAATCAAAGTACACGCAACAACACAGATATGGAGGAGTGGTATCAGCCACCACTCCAGGCTGGCTGATTTTGTTGATAAATGCGGAAGAGCAGCTGCTCTGATTAGGGACCACACTGGCCAACCACGAAAAAAAAACAAAAGCATTGCCTCGGAAAAGGCATTGTTCCGCGATTGCACCCAGCAGCCGCGTGAAGGAAACTATGAACTGAGCGACTGAGCTGGATGAGCTGGATGGTCTACTGCTCAGAAGCAGGCCAGTGGCAAAAGCAGGCAGTCTCATTGCCATCGCTATCGAGCAATGGATGGTCTACTGCTCAGAAGCAGGCCAGTGGCAAAAGAAGGCAGTCTCATTGCCATCGCTATCGAGCAATGGTGGCCTCCGTGCTTAGTAAACAGTGGCGGTTTCTGGTACCTGGTGCCAACGCACATTTTAGACTTTATTGATGTATTTTCATGTTCTGAAAATGCATGAAAATGTTCAAGATTGTGTTTACTGCATGGCATTAAATATCTGAGCATGGAATCGCATCGTCGAATTTCGTGAAGCGGAACGGCAGAAGAAAAAGTTTTTGTTGTGGCGAGAATATTTATGGATTGACTCTTGACAGCTTCTCCAGAATATAAGCAGCTATTATTTCCCTGGAACAGTGAGTTATCACGGTCGAGAATAATGGAAGTGGCTATAACCATACTTCGCTGCCGAGTCACCTCCCTCAACTTTTACCTGCATAGAGCAAGTCGAGCGCTGTCTCCTCTGTGTCTCTTCTGTAAGGAGGAGGAAACAATTAGTCATTGCTTTCTATCCTGTAGCCGGTGCACATCATTGAGGACAAGATTCATAGCACCACCTCTTCGAAACTTGGGTCTGGAAATACCGAATCAGTTGTTTTTTCTTTTGTTGCCTCTACTGTAGGCTACAATCACAGGGATGTTTACTACGCTATAGAGGAATTTATCAGTCAGACTAAAAAAAATATTGAGCTGAATTATTCATTCTTTTAAACATTTCAATACTAATATTCGATAATTAGGTTGTTGCATTAACTATTGCTCGTTATACGAGAAGTATTGCGAATAAAAACTTAAAAAAATATTCACTTAACACTCGACTTGTTCCCTGCATCGGGTAAGAGCCATGAGAAGAAGAAGAAGACTGCTATTGATTGCTGACCGGGAACCGAAAGCTTTTGATTAGAGTGGAAATTTCGTCGAAGTGGCGTTCGTTGTACCAGGGTTTGACTATGTATAATTCCTGGGAGTGTCAGCCACCACCACTCATAGCGGAGGTGAAGAGTGTGGAACATTCGTTTTGCCGCGCCATGTGGCATGCGATTTTTTTGCAAGGTGTCAGCAGGCCAATAAACCTTTGCATGCTAGGGGAGGCAGCCAGGATGAAGCTGTCACTACAAAAGCACAAAAGAAGAGGAATTGTTAGAGGTGCCTGGTTTCGTTGTTGCGCACAACCGATACCCAATAAATAAATGAAACCAACAGACAGTTAAGCAAAGTAAAGCATTGTGGGCATTATTTGTTGTTTTCCAGTGTAGCATAGTTATTATGACTTCAATTGAGAGGAATCAACGCGTACCCAGAAGTACCCTCGATTTCCATCGGTGCATTCTGAATCCACAGTCTTCCACTTACACATGAGTATGTTAATGAGAACTAACAGACAATTATGCTGGATAAGGAATAGAAGGTGTTATTAGAGGTAATTGTAATGTAAATGTGAAGAAAAAAAAAGGAAAAAATGGTTAAAAGATAACTTGCCAATGGCAGTATCCGAACCTTTGACCTTTCGAATATGATGGTATGCAAGGGATTATTGGCCAGCTGTCATCTTGTAATAAGCTCACGTAGTACGTGACACCAAAGGGGCAAGAAAAAGTATTCCACACTCGCTGTAATAGGCAAGAAAAAGTGTCCCACACTCGCCGTAATGACAACAGAGGGTACTGACTGAAGCTCCCACGTTTAAAGGCACATATATAAAGTGGACAGAAGGATGACCACCACCACCGTAGCTCAGTGGTATAGCAACGGGCACGTTATTCTAAGGTCGCAGGTTTGGATTTTGCTGGTAGCAAGTTATCTTTTCGTCAATTTTTCTTTCTCCACATTTACATTACAAATGCTTCCAATAACATTCCCTATACTTTCCCTGGCATTATTGTCTGTTAGTTTTCAATAATATTGTGTCTAACAAAGAAAACGAGGCCTTCAATTTACTCTTTGCATCAGTGTGGAATGATGATTCTTTCTTTTTGCAGCGCTGGCAAACAACATTCAAAACTCCACAGCAGACATCATGAGCTACTCTCTAAACCAGGAGAACAAGAGAGGAAGCCAAGTCTTCCCACATCATTCTGGCAGCAAAGGGGTGAGTTAAGTTGTTAAATGAAATTAACAGAACATATGTGGCTGATTTTCATGTTGTGGTGTTTTTGGATTTGTTAGTCAGTATATGCATAATGTACTGAAACCTGAAAAGTAATTATGTGCACTAGTTTGTAAGTTGCTATGTGTCACAAAAAATAGCACCACAACAGAACATCTAATGGAAACAAAGGCACAGTCCTTTCCTGCTTGTTGTTGCACTCTATTGTAGTTTCTTTGCTATGTGTAGGGGAGACAGTTGAAAGGATACTAAACGCAGATAGCAATTTATGTTATAATGAAAGGTCAATGCTTTAGAGTGTCTGAAACATCGGTGTTATACTCAGCAGCACTTAAGCAATAAAAGGTAACATTTCAAGAGTCCACATTTACTTATTAGTTGGCTTTAGTGGCTCTTCATCTTATTTTTTTTTAGTAGGTAGGACACAATTTCTGCCACCAGTGGGACATTCTGGAGCACAAGCCCAATGATGTGGTAGGGCCTCAATATAAATAATTGTATGTACTCAAACTACCAATGACAGAGAAGACCACTGCAGTGCATACCAGGCAGAAGAAAATGCAATTGCTGTATTTCAATCTGGTTGATGCAAAAAATAACTTCTTTACGTTAAGCTTGTGAACAATGCAAGTTCCATTTTCACCGGGCTATGCTACATTAATGTTGTCTGCTCCGTTGCGCTGACTGTCTGACAGTAAAGCAAGTAAATGGCGGGAATGGCGACGTCAGAAGGCCCTCCTCGGAAGGGTTCAAGTGTAATTGGGCTAACGTTATGCGAGCCATTAAGATGGGATTTTCTTTTGAACCTAATTTCCAACTTAATGTCCATGAATACTATAGTGTTCTTATTTTTATTTATTATGCTTTATTTAAGCTCTACGTGCCATTCCATTTATTTATTGTACCCTCAGGGCCCGAGGGCATTACAGAGGAGAGCGGAGATATACATAACATAAGCAATGTAAAACAGCAAGGAAAAAAACTCGCAGCAGATAAGTAAATGGAATAAAGTAGGCATAAATGACAACAATTCATAAGAAAAAATATATACTAACAATAACCTTATATATACACACATATATACTACATATATAAAAACATATGTATATACACACAAACATTTAGAGAAGATTAATAGTTTTACGAAACATATCTTCATCAGTTATATAAGCGATATCATGGGGAAGATCATTCCAACTGACACAAGTTCTGGGTATGAATGAGTCATGAAAACATTTGGTGTGACATAAAAACATTTAGTGTAGCAATTTATGCATGCCTGTTTTCTTTGTTTCTATGCGTGCGATCATTGTGTATATAGGCTTGCAGACAAGCTTTGTTTGCTTCAGAGTGGGCGACAGTTTATTCAAAGTTGGCGAGAGTTTCCTATCGCAAAAAGCAGCTTTTATAATTCTTTATTTAAACATCCCTGTTTTTGCGCTGCAGAGCTTGACTGGTTCTAGTAGCGACGGTGCCAGCAGCAGAGGAACGTCGCCCACGCGAAGTGAGCTACCAACCGTATTTGCTCGACCCACGAGCAAGAAGCGACCGGCGCCACCTCCGCCGCTGCCGGCATCCCCGCCGCCTACGATTCCTGAGCAGGAGGCCGACACCACGACGCTCCCAGTTAAAGGAGGCCGGCGCGAAGGTGCGGGCCACTCTCGTCAAAGCTCGGACTCCAGTGGTTACCATGAGGCGTCAGTGTTGAGTGACCTGCCAGACACGCCTTCACCTGAGGCAGTGCAGGGGAGGCCTAACTGCAGTGAGTATAGAAAAGGAGGCTGTAGTTGTCACAGTGCAATTGTAACTACAGACAGTCTTCCAGATAAGTAATGCTCGTTCGAATGGATGTGTGCACAGGGGGCGGCTGCCTCTCTTAATCATCTAAGAGGGAGGGGCGGGGATGGGACAAAGTCAGCTTTTTACATTGACATAATATTGTCACGCCACCTCTGAGGTCCAGGCGGAGTTTATTTGTTGTAGACCAACAGGGCTTTTGGTTAAAGGAGTCGTTAAGCTCACTCTTGAAAAAAAAAACAGCATTCAAAATTTTTTTTCATGACCTGGGCCACTGGCCTTGATTTCCACCCACTACTATGGGTGGCATTATTCCCCTCTTCCTGAAATAGGGCATCGCCTCAATGATGAAGGAAAGGCTGCATTCCGTAGTATACTAACATTATGTACTCTCGTACACGAATCACAATGGAAAAGAGAGATTGCGTTTCATCATGCATGCTCAATGTAATGACACGCACTGATGTTACTTCTTTTCCCCATGCCATCCCTTCAATGTGTAGCTTTCAGTGCACTCATTCAGACGGAAGGAGAGAGAAAGAGCTTAAACGGTGTGACAGGTGCCTGTAATTCTGCTTGTTCATCATGGATTTGAGAAATGTTTTGCAGAAATTGATTCTTGAGGCAATGAGCTCCGATACTGAGCTAATTCAATTATCGCTTCGAAAAGTGGTTCATGTCCACTTTAAAGTGCAAGGCGGCTCACATATGTCTATTTATTGCACAGATCTCAGGCAAGAAAGTCCGTCACGCACCACTGGGACGGCAGCAGCAGTGCACCGACGAAGTGCTCCAGTGGAGACTGGCACCAGGGCAGTGCGGCCTCAGAGCACCATCTCGGAGGCCGGAACCATAGGACACGCGAAGAAGCGCAAAGCACCTCCACCGCCTCCACTGGCACTGCACACGCCTGCTTCTACACAATTGCCAGGAGAAGCGACTAAGCCAACCAACACACAACCTGGTAAGCATCAGGCCCAGCTTCTCATACCCTCGGCAGCAGTTTCGGTCACCGTTTCACATCTCTGCATGAAGAAACAGTGGGACAGGTGAAAGTACAAAGGTCATCCAATCCAGCTCGGCTATTTGTTCTGTTTCAGACTGCTGCTGGGCAGAGGCACAGACCTCCTGTACTCAAAAAATTTTTATTAATCCTGTTAACCGATAGTGAAGAACATTTGTAAATCATTTTACAGTTATACGGTTAAATGTGCATATAATTAACCTAAGTTTGACAAAATTTGCTAATAAAATGAACAGTTCACATTTCCCAATCTTAGCCTGTTTGAAAAACCACATTTTCTTTTGCAATTCAGCGAAGTACCTCTGTGCCATAGCCTCAACTTTATGAAGTCCTGATGCGTTGTGTGCACACACCTATTCCCTCTGTGATAAATGAAAGATCGGTGAACGCTTGGGATAAAATTATCTTTTGCGGGCGGCCTTTCCTGTAGGAGCATTGCCTGTGCATGGCAGTAAACACCATCAAGCGAACAGAACGAGATGCATTACCGTGCTGTCACTTTTTTTTGCATGGAAGTAAACTCTGCCCCTGAACTCTTGGTGTACAGTCGAATCTCGATGATACGATTACGGTTGATGCGAATTTCGTGATGATACGAATTTTAAGTCTGTTTTGGATGGACTACATTATATAAAATACACCATGATTCGGTGTTATACGAATGGTTTCCCCAGCCATTGCGTATGATGCAAATGTCAGATTGACCGCTGCATGCCAGCGGCGCAACGCGACAAAAACACGCTGCGAGGCCGACACCAAAAATTGGTGCGAGACCAATTTTCCCCCCACGCGATGCCGTAGTATCGCCTTTTTGCTTCACGGCTTTGGCTTCACCAGCTGCTTTATCTCAAACCTCGTGATGTCAACAACCAGCCGTGGTGGTGAAGGCATCGGCTATCATGAACTACCCGTGCGGCACGTCAAAGCTCACGACCTTGACAAGGATGTGGTCGTCGAGAGCCTGGTGTGGAGTACGATCACTAACACCGGATGTAGAAGAAGGTGCTGCAGCAGCCAGTCGGCTTGCTCGAACCTGTCTTGCTTTTGCACTGTCGGCTGAATCCATCGCCGCCGCTGTGTCCGCTTGTGTCATTTCGACTGGCGTGTCTTCTGAAATAACGTTAGTAAAGGTGTAAACTGTTTCTTTTCAGTGCCTTGTATGCATAATTATAACTCGGTACAAATTTCAGGGATCAGGAACATGGCAAAATGGAATGAATTCTCAAGCGGCGATGGCGGCGGGGGTGGCATGTATACGAGGGGAAGTACGAATGTAAAAACTTTTTTGGCGGGCGCGGACGTGGTTTCGTGGCCGCGCTGGTATTTTCGCTTGAATTCTCCAATGCAAATTCTCCAGGACTCACTTTTTTTCCTATTGACTTCGTGGCGGGGCTTTCTGGCTGCTTACGCGGGAAAGCGAGTGAATTTCCAATGAGTTAGGCCGCTTTCGCTCGCTCTGATGTCAACTGTGAACGCGCTGCGCCAGCAGCATGACCGAGGAAACCGCGGCACTTAATTAAGAGACGGTGATGGCAGGAAAGTTCAAAAGAATAGAGACTTTTTTTCAGCAAGGTGTAGTTGCCAATGAAGTTCTTGTTCATTATTTTTATCAGCTTTAAGTTGTTTTTAGTTCATACGAATTTGAGCTGATACGAATATTTTACGCCCCCCCCCCCCCTCTTCGAATTCGTATCTTCGAGATTCTGCTGTATGTGGCGCTACAGTGAGCCTTTCAATTGCAAAGGCCAGCCCACCACTGATTATGACACACGATCCCCAATTCTAAGAGCATGCCCGCACTTAGTTAAAAAACGCTACGCACACAAATATAGGACATTAGTTCAATACAACTAGGAAAGGGGTCACATGCAGACTAACATACATATTTTCGGTCATTTCGAAGTACAGTAGACTCTCATGAGAGTGAATGGAACCTGAAGGGACCGAGAAAATGTGTTTCTTTTAACTGGAGTTCCGTTTATTGAGAAGTGAACATGGGTGCAGAATGCAAGCCCAGAACTAAGCATTGCAAAAGCAATAGATTCGTTTAATCAGTAGTTCCGTTTAACAGATTTCAATTTACTGAGAGTATACTGTACTTCAAAATTTTCAAAAAGTAAAATTCATATCATACCGAATTTGAATGCACTAATATTCCCTCAAATATTACTGTATTACTGCAGAACCCTAACATTTTGCTTCATCAACCTAGCCGAAAGACACTCTTTATTATTGCTATCTCATAAAAATATTTGGTTTGATTCGCACTCACACTTCAATACTCTAATTCTCTTCACACCCCAAATTTCGCTACAGTTAAACCTCGTTATAACGAAATTGGAGGGCCGCCGCTATTTGCTCGTTATAACCAATATTTCGTTATAGCCGTAGCGGGCATTTACCGCAAATATTATGCACTGTACTTACCCCCCAAAAATAGCGGGCGAAATAGCATCCCGTTGCACGGTGGTATGCAACAAAATAACCGCATTCCCAAATAAAAAGGAAAAAGTCATGCACCTGTTTTAATGCACTTCAAAATACACAGCTTGCATTTCAGGCAGACTTAGCTACAAACAAGTCCGTAATTGGACGTTGATGCATCTTCCTGATGCGAACGATGGCTTGCTCAGCTGCGGCCGCAATGTCCAAGCCATCTTCGCCGCCCTCGTGAGCGCCGAAGTAGTGGCGCAGTACGTCCACCGCGTCTAATGCCTCCGACGCCGTCGGCACGTTTGTCTCCTGTTCGTCGACAGAGTCATCGTCACTGGTTTCGTTACGATCACTGACAGCGCGCACAATATCGTCATCCAGGAGCTGCTCCGTTGCCACCACTTCCGAGTCCGCACTCACATAGTCGCAAAACGACTCGCTGTCAGGCACGATACCGGCGTCACGAAGTGCCGTCCATGATGCAGCGACTTCGTCTGATGTTGCAAAACCGTCCGGCACAGTGGGCTCGTCTGATGGCTCATCGCTGGCGTCTGGTGTGGCGGCAAATTAGGGGTGTCGAAAGCAGTTTGCGATCGTGGTCGCCGTCACACTCATCCACGCCGCCTGAAGCATTTCGAGCGCAGCGTACAAGTCAACATCGGTGTCTCGCTTCATCCTCATGTTGAGCAGGAGCTTGTCTATCACACGCTTGCGGTAACCTGCCTTCAGCGACATAATCACGCCTTGGTCAAGCCGCTGTATTTTTGCTGTGCAGTTGGCAGGAAGGAACAGCAGCTCGATGTTTTGAAGCACGGCAGCGGTATGGTGGGTGGTGCAGTTATCTAAAACAAGGCACACCTTGCGGTTCCCCTTTGCCAGCTTCTCATCCCATTCGCAAAGCTATATTGAAAAAATCTCCCTGGTCATCCAGGCTTTGCGATTGGCTACGTACTTGACTGGGAGCTGCCTCTTCCCCTTTAAGCAGTGAGGGGATGCACTTTTGCCAATTACGAAAATTGGCAGGTTCTCAGAGCCGGTCATGTTTGCACAAAGTATCGCAGTGATCCGCAGCTTACTTTGTTTGCCGCCATGGCACGGCTCGCCTTTGAGGGCTAACGTCTTGTGCGGCAACATCTTGAAAAAGAGAGCGGCTTCGTCCGCGTTAAAAGAGAGCGGTTTCGTCCGCGCTGTATTTTTCTAGTAGCCGCACAATGTTTTCTTTCGCCCACTTGGTAGCCTCTGCTTCGTCGACAGATTGCGATTTGCCGCAGACCGCTCTCCCGACAATGTCGTGGCGCTCCTTGAAGCATTGGAGCCAACCCGAGCTTGCTACGAAGTTGTCATAGCCCATGATGCAGGCAAAGTCTCTCGCTTTTCTTTGCAGCAAGGCGCCGCTCACCGGCAGATTCACGGCCCGGGTGTCTAAGAACCATTTAAAAACGGCCCTTTCGACCGCTTCAAAGGCAGGTGCCTTCATCTTCTTAGCGCTTCCTTTCACGCCACGTGCAACAGCGTCGATGATGGACTCCTGCTTGCTCAAGATGGTTGACAGTGTGCTCGTCGATACGCCAAAGTCTCTTGCCACGTTGCCTTTCTTGGTCCCCGATTCGACAGCTCTTATCATAGCCTCCTTCTGATCTAGCGTTATGCGCTTTCGCTTCCCGCCTGGCGCATTCATGTTGCTGAAATCACGAGTGCAGCACGATGAAAGATAAGGCGGAGCGGTCGAAAAAGAGAAGAAACACGCACGCAAAAGCAACGTGGCTCACGTCGGCGAGCGACAACACTTGCAGAGAAAGTGACTGTGAAGAGGAAGGGGCAGAAGGGGGCGCTCTTTTGCGCTGCCCTCTGCCCCTTAAGAAGTCCGCACTAGAGATCTATCGAACTTTTAAGCAGGAAATTGCCAAGGAAAGGATCTATGATAATACTCGGGGTAGTTCTCTACTGTTTGAGGCCAGGACGGGAGTACTGTGAACCAAGACATATCGGGCCAAATACGAAGGGGTAGACACAGTATGCAGTGCGTGTGGAGAGGAAGAAGAAACTGCCGAACACTTGATAACGTTCTGTAAAGGGCTTCACCCTATAGTTCAGGATGATGGCGCAGAGTTTTTCAAAGCACTGGGGTTTAGGGACCGGGAGGGCAAAATAAACTTTAAGCGGGTAGACTTAACTAGAAGGAGGTTATCTGATTGGTGGCTAAAGTCAAGGCACGAGTGAAAATTAAACTCTTCTCTGCAAAGTACGAATCCTCAAACTCACTTTTTTAAGGAAAAAAAATAAATATAGTTTTTGGTTCATTAGGTATTACGGCTTGGTAGCGCTAGCCACCGCACAATCTAAAGGGTACAGCCATATCCATCCATCCATCCATCCATCCTCTAGGAACCGGTTACTCAAGGGGAAGGGGGTATGTAAGATTAGGAAGCGCGCCTCAGTGCCATGAGAAAGGGGAGAGGGAGAATATAAAGAAGACACAAAAGAAAAGAAAAGGGCGAGACGTTCGCGGAGCTGTGGAGCGCTCCGCTGTCGGTGGTAGCCAAGCGGCGCACGTGCAGTGACCTCTCCTCGGAAACAACGCGTGCCGTCTGCTTTGCGCGCGTTGCTGGAGGGCGCGTGGTGGGAGTTTTGAACTGCTAAATACAGTTCTCGCGTTGCGCGCCGTCTCAAATTCGCGTTGTGCACTGTCGTGACATCGGCTCAAAATTTTACTTCCTAACAAAATTTGTTCGTTATATCCCATAACAGGCAAATTTTGCCTAGTTAAAACGAGGTTTTGAATACATTGGTTTGTATGGGGACCTTCAAGGGGAATTAGGATTTGCTCGTTATATCCATTATTTCGTTATAGCCCGTCTTGTCTATAACGAGGTTTAACTGTATTTGCACAGCTCTACAAAGCAGCATCTGTGTCACCACATTGGCCCAATAAAATACATGACACACCTGTGCGTGAACAGACACTGGAGTCATGACGCAGCATCACTGCACACACACTGCTGTTGCAAACTTGTCTTCCTATGGTGCAGCAAGCATCCCAGCACAGTACGAATCTGTTTTTGAATTCTTGAGCATTGTAAGACCCACATGTCTTTATCTGAATCTGAAAGGCACTTTCTATGGCCATGCTCATAATATTCCACTTATTTTGTCACCACTGAGCTGGTCAGCAACAGATCAGCCAGCCATCACGATGCAGCTGGTAGTTCAGATGCACATGCAGGCTGTGGTAAAATGACTGGTCGTCCACAAGACCTTCTGCCACGTTTGTAATACAGTGCATACGTTTCACTGAGTGACAGTGAAACTACCGATTATTGTTACTAGCGTTGCGATCACAAATGGTGACCATGCCATTCTTGAGGCATTTGTGGGGCATAGCTGCACTAAGTCAAAGCAAAACTACTACTTGTCACAAATTCTGCATAGGAAACTGGTTACTGTCAGTGCGGGCTCAATACAACTCGCATTAGTGTTCATCCCAAATTAATGTAACATTTCATTCTTTTTTGTTGTGTCTTCCTCAGTTAGTAGGTTTACTTGTAGCGCACATGCACAAAAGGACAAAATAAAGTGTCATGTATGTGCGGAAAGAAACATACTAAAAAATGGGCCACCAACCAGCCAGCATCGCATTTTCCTCGTGTCTTCAATTTTCGTGCATGTATGCAAGTTTTATGTAGCCTATGGTCTGCATTGAACTTAACACATTGACTGTGCTTATTGACTGCTTTAATTGGTACAAGGTGATGGGTTGTTAAGGCATATGTGTACGAAAGCAGGTGTTCCACGTGTCAATCAAACAGCTACACATGACTTTATTGCTGCAGCATTTATATTAGTGTAGAACAGCACTTGTAAAACACTTGTGTTCCACACCAATTCATATAGGTATGCACCAAAGCGAGGTACTGACCCACAAAAATGAATTTTTCAATCTTGTCAATCCTTTAAATGCTCAATGCACAACAGGTCATTGTTTCTTCACGTTGTAATGTGTCATATTTTAATATCGACTGCTTCTGTGTTTTCTCGACTCATAGCTGCCAACCCTGACGTGTCGGAGAGACTACTTGCAGAGCCATCCCAGCCTTCTGTCGACGAGAAAGGTGAACAGCCGTCTTTCAGCGAGATCAGTCTTGTGCCCCCACCGTCGCCTTTCTCGGCACCTCTGGCACGAAACCAGCAGACCAAGACGACCACTAACCAAGGCCCCACCCCCAAACCACGTCTTCTAACCATTCCACTCTGGCAACCTGCCCCAGAAGGTTCACTCACTCCTCTGGTGTTGGCGTTTGTGGGCTTGTGCATGTGTCTGCCGCTTTCATTTCCTTTCCTTCCACAAAACATTGCATGCTTGTGTGATTTTCTTGTCCTTGTTTTACCTGCATGTTGCCTGTGAGTCTATGCACTGTTGATAAGCAACAGCCGTGTTCGGAGAATGGGCATCTTGCTTCGCCACCTATACATCAGCTTCAACTTGTGATTTTTTTATGATGATTTAATCATGTCTCAAAAGCTGGTTTCCAGTTGTCATAGCTGATTTTTGCATGCATCTGGTTTTCCAGCCCTGAATTGCCTGACCTAGGTACGAATAGTGCCCAAACAAAATGTTTTACTCAAGACGTCTTCAATATTTGCAAAATAAAGTTTAGGAAAACTTAAATAATTGATGTGGCCAGCAAAATTTTATGGGCCCAGCAGCTACATGCAGCAAAAGAAAGCAAGGAATAGGCTAAAGAAAAATTCACCTATAGATAATGGAATATGAATATCAAAGAAGTCTTGACAGCCAAGGTGGAAATTATCCCTTTTTTCTTTGTGGTCAAATGGTTTGCAGTTATTCAGAAACAGTCTGTGGTAGGATTCAGGGCAGTCACACTTCCTAGCATTAAAGAGCCCCTAAACCACCTCCGATATTTTTTTTAGGCATTTCAAGTAAACGCGTGCTTTGTGTGCAGAATGCTGTCACAATCAACGATGGCACGGGCGTGCCACAAATTCTAAGAAAAGATCTTTCCTCTTCTCCGTGCCTTTCTGGCCTCCATGTGACGATGCACAGTTGAATCTGTGATTCATAGCGCTAGCCATAGGTCATAGGTCAAACAAAAACCTATGACTTCTGGTTAGTCTGCGAGCAGCTGTCCGTGCTCCTTGTTGTTGTGCATTGTGTTGTGGTGGTAGCGACTCCTCATCTTGCGCGGAGGTGCTTTGGCATAGCGTGTCAAAGTATGGATCCATGCTGTTTGCAATCCTTCGAAAGCGTGTGCGTAACAAATGGTCTATATACTGACAGGATTCATAGGAGCACAGGCCGGCACGGCAACAGCAGTTAGCCAACAAGCATGGAGTTGATGGAGTCGCGACAACCGGAAGTAGACGATGTTTCGAACAGCGCGTCAGCAATGAGGTTGGTGGCCAGGCAACATGGAAAGGGCACTCGGTGAGGAGGGCAAAACGGCTTCGGGAGAGGAGACCAGCGGAGTGTAGCGAAGGAAAGAGCGTAAAGAGCGATCGCTGTGTTTCGATTATCAAGCATGTCTAACTCCACTATTATGGCACCGTTCCGAAAAATTCTCACGGCTACATGTTCTTTATAGACTCTTGTTCAACTTCTTCACCACAACTACATTTCGACCTCTGGGTGATTCAGGGACCTTTCAAAAATAGCACATACCAATCTGTGGGCAGCACGAAATGCCAAGGTGGTTCTCATCATTATCGTCAGAAACTATGGAAACATTCAAGAAGTAGCGTGTCCTAGCATTAAAGGTAGGATAACCTAGTTTGCGGACGGCACCAAATGCAAGGTGGTACTACAATCATTGTTCTTGTTAGTACTCTTGAGTCGCTGATGAGTTGGCGGTGCACGTGTCTGGATGGGCAGAGTTCACTGATTGAAGAAACGGCATAAGTGAAACACTGTGCGAAATTTCACCTCATTGGGAAGGCTATAGATGTCACTGCGTCTCACTGCATTTGTGGTCATTTTATCTAGATGACATTAGGGATTGCAGCTAAGCATTGTATTCTGAATTCCCACATTTGCTTCCACGTAAGTTTATGTACACATATCTTTATTTATTGTATACACTCTGTGCATTCAAGGAGGGCATTTGATAACTTGGCAAATACAGTGGAACTTTGATTATATGTACCCCGGTTTTGCGACAACCCACTTTTTACGGCGAATTGGTTTGGTCCTGGCAAAATTCCTGTATGAATAATGTATCAAAAACCTTGGTTATACGATACAGTTTTTTGCCCACCCCACATCTTGCAATGACTTTCCGATTCCGTCCTCGTGTTTACTGGCATTGAACGTTGACCAAATACTCACGAGGGCAAAATATGAATCATCATTCTCCAAGTTTGTTGCTTAAAAAAGTACAGATTGAGACAGTATGTCTTCTTAAAACGGAAAAAGTTATTCTCCTGGCAGTTCATGCACTTCTGCATAGGCGTCGATAGTGTGTGTACGCAGTGTCGTTATTTAGAGAGGCTCGGTAGCTTCAACTGGCCGAAAAGTTCATTTCTGAAATCCCTGATATTTTCTATGTTTTCAGTCCATGGAACCTTTCCTGGTCGACGTACAGTTGATCTCCTGCCTTGTGTTGAGGCACTCGCAGTCACAAGCTTGAGCACGCAAAAGGGCGTAACGCAGCTATTTTCACCGGGCAAAATTACTTTCACTTGATGTCAACATTCATTACAACAATCGGCATCACTACTTGCACTGCAAAAGGCAACAAATTACCATGCGCACTTCTCAGCCGAGCATGAAGGCATTCTATGCAACTCGTGGTCCGTCGTCATTATGTGATGGTGATGACTCTGTGCCAAACCCTTCTGACGGGAGGCTGTTGGCAACGGGGTTTCAGTTTCGTTTTCATGTGCAGACAATTTTTGTAATGAATTTATTAAAGAAAGATATGCATTGCATTCGATATTTTTAAAGTTGAGGATAAGGATTCACTTGCACCTGCTTCAGCTAAGTAATTTACCATGGGCAAGAATAATTTACGCTACCTTCCAAGGAAAAGACTAAGGTTGAATCGTGGCCTTATTTAGGCGGTCTTTAGCCCCCTTTTTTTTGTGCAAAACTGGGTGTCACTACCGGTATTCCTAATTTTTCGACTATACGACACTCAGATTATACGATGGTTTTGAGTTGTCACGTGAAAGTCTTCTACTTGGGGTTCCACTGTATATACCATAGAGTTTCATACAAAAATACCTAGAGTGGAATCTGGCGCTAGTGTCTACACGGGCTCCTTCAGCGGCGCTTGTACCCGCATGGGAATGATGGCAAGTACAGGCTTCGGATCTGCTTCGGATGGATAACACTCTTGAGACGCTTTTTTTCTGAGTGTAAAACAAAATGATATGAAGTTACAATAAATTGAATCTCGCTTCATCCTTTTGTACGCAAACTTCATTGCAAAAATTTTTTGTGACCATGGCATAGAAGTAAAACATGGACAAATTTAACCATCAGAGTATGCATCGCTCTGCCATTGCGTTCCGAATCTGGCATCAAGTTTTAGGGAATTATTTTTTTACAACACTTGAAAAGAAATGTGCTTGCTTTTCTCTCGAAAGTACGCATTATCTATTTATGCAAATAAAAGTACAGTATTAAGTGAGAAATGCTTATCGTTTTGTCTTCTGCGATGCTAGGTGCGTCTGTCCCAGTGGTTTGCCCCCAACTCACCTCTGGTTTTGTTGTGAAGTCGAGTCAGTGGAACGTGACGATGCGTCTACTTAGCTTCATCGCTTTGCAGTAGATTTAAAACGAGTTTAGGCAAGACACGCTCGTGAAAAGCATGAACGCGAGGCATTGCTGTGCACTGGCATGAGACTCTACATCTAGGCGCAGCGGTGAGTGCACTACGCTTTGTTTAAACTGTCAAATGCGACTCCCAAAGCTCCAACGTCGCAGCGAATGAGGAGATCTAGTGGTGATCAGCCTCTTCGAGCAACAAAGGCACTGCTTCAGCTTGTTTTACCACACCCCACTACCCGCGCTCCGCGAAGAACGAAACTGAAACTGTAGCAAAAGGTCTGTAGACATTTCACTAGCTAACCCCTATCCAATCCGAAGCCTGTACTTCCCATAATTCCCATGGGGGTAAACGATCGCAGCGCCAGATTTCTCTCTAGGTATTATTGTATGAAACTCAATGGTATATACATACACAGTGGAACCCCAATTATGGTATACACTATAGTGGAACTGTTATATACTATAGTGGAACCCCAAATATACTATATAATAGATGCGAAACGGATGCATGCACAGACTAAGCTTGCCTTCCAGACTAAATTACTTTGTCTGGTTTTTGATGCACTCTAACAAAAAACATCAGTTGCATCACATCTATACTCTCTACATACTTGAAAGATTCGTAGCAATTTAGTCTTCAGTCATCCTGCTGTTTTACCAGCCTTGCTGTTGTTAGCTGTAGTAGTTCTATATTGCCACTACACGGTTGAGAACTTCCTGGTTTAAATGGAAGCGTGACAACTTGTCACCTAATAATGTCATTGTTTTTATTTTCTGGAACCTTTGTTACGACTTTGCTGATCTCTGCTACAAATTTAGGACACAGTGTTTTACCTGCATAATATTAACTGTGCATGATAATTATATCTGTTTGCTGTGCTTTGCTTCATGTAGCTTTTCAATGTTGGTGGCTTTATAGCACATGTAGTGTAATTGTAGTTATTTGTATTTTATATATTTAACAGAAATTATCACAGCATAAGGCTTATACATAGTATTGTTTCAAGGCTATATTGTTATTGGTGTTCTGTGGATATTTCGTTGTGACGCGAAGCAGTTACATATTTGGCACGAGCGAAAGTATTCCAAATGGCTCCTCAACACACAGACACACTGTATTATTGTCTTCGATTCAACGTGGCATACAATAACAGTTGTCTGTGATGCAAAAGACATTGAACGCCACCTTTGTACGGTGATGAGAGATAATTGTTTGAGCGACAAATGGACATGATTTGCCGCGATCTCCTAATGTTGCACAGCATACTAGGTCTGATTTCCAGCCCTTCGAAGATTTACAGCCGCTATTCAGTTGCCTGTCAGAAATTGGCCCAGTCTAAAAGTTTGATGATGGACTATTTTATACAGAAAACACTTGATGTACCTGACATATTTGTTGTAAATATTTATATCATGCTCACTTGCTCATCACATTTGTTAATATTTTTCCTTTTTATGATTATTTTCTTCTCTCTCTCCTTTAACCTTTAATAAAAAATCACTGATTTTTTCAGTAGTGTCTCTCTCTCTCATGAGTGCTCTTATAGGTAACAACTATTGAGTGGATTCTAAATAAACTTCATTTTAAGATTTAGTGTCACTGTCGCTGTGCAAAGGTAAGTTACGTGAATTCTCTCTACAGGGACGAGGAAGCTATGAGCAATACTAGCACTTATTGAGCACTGCGAAGATTACAGCATTAAAGAATATGTGAGAACGTTCTGTGTCCTACTTAACTTATTGGTACATATCAACTTACAGAGTCATTTGTATTGGTCTCTTCGTAGATGATGGACCAGGCGAATGCGATGAAACAGCCCTGAAGAAGCTGGTTTATTCTCATATCGATGCCACATTTGATTCAATAGAGGATCCTGATTCACTGGTTGCTGACAATTCAGCGTGTGTTTCTGACAGTGCTTCTTGGGAGTACACGATTCCCGAGCCCCCATCTCCATTCCGAACAAGAGCGGGTGTTGCTTCTGAGCCAAGTGCAGTGTCGCAAAACTTAACAAAAACGGAGTCTCCTCAGCCAGAGTCGCCGAAAAGTGACCTTTCAAGAGATGACAGTGGGCTTGTCGAAGATCTGGGTAGCAGGAACAGCACTAACAGTGTGAACATTGAAACCCAGAATTTCAGCGGCAGTGCAACAGATCAAAGTGATCTGACTTGTGAGAAGAAAAATGCTTCCACTCCACGGACATCTGTGACGTCCACAGTCCACGTTGAAACGGTGGTGCTTCAAGAAACGGTGCTCTGTCAGGGTTCTGTAAAGCACTTACAAAGGAGGCTGTCGATGCAGCTGAGAAAGAACAACACTCTGAACCTGCCAATGAAGGCAGTAGCTCAGAAACATCGAGTTTGTCTGCCGTCACATCGGAGGAACCTGTACCTTCTCAGTTGAACGTTATCGATCAAGATCAAGAGTCTGATGAAAGCGCCTCGGTAATTACAAAGCAACCAATACCTCGCAGAGACAGTTTGCAAATTTACCGACTGAAGGAAGTCAAGGTGTCTACGAGAGAATCCAACATGCATGCTCCGGAGAAGCAAGATGTGCCTGAGCCAGCATTTGAAACGAGCACCTGTAAAATGCAAGAGGAGCCTCCAAGCTCAGTACCTGAAGAAGAGGTCTTTGTTCAAATGGTTGTGGTCAATCAGGCACAGAAAGGAGGTCAAACTAAAACAACTGTGCAAGCATCTTCTCTGGAATGCTCTAGTTTTGGTGCATCCAATGCTAATGTGCCAAAAGGCACCTACACGGCTGCGGGAAATCTTGAAGGAAAGAGTTGTGAGGCTTCACAGGCTAGCTCTTTAGATCGACAAGAGCTTGTAAAGATGAGCAGCTACCCAAACGCTGCAGAAAAGGCTGTTCATCTCGAGGACATTGTGTGGGAGGTGTCTGATGGAACTTCGTCGGAGGTCAAGGAAACTGAGGCGTCTGCCCCCAAGGAAGAAATCAAGTTGAGCCAAAGACAGGATACCGAGAAAACATCCCGACCTCGAAGTGTTGTTGGTGGTCCAATTTCTTTCTCTATTGGATCATTAGGATCCTACAAGACTGAGGTGGTGGACGACATTTATAGTGGTCATTCGAACAAGCCCAACTACGAGAGGTTCAAGAACATCAAGGTGATCTCGCCTAGCACTGCTAGCAGTGGAACGCAGCGTGCAGTGACATCCAAGGTGGCAGCTGGTCCTGCAGTGGGATCTGCAGCTTTAACGCGCCCCAACGAAAAGCAGGCGTCTGAGAAAGAATCGACTTTTACAGTGCAAATTGGTAGCTGGGAGAGTGACAATCAGGGACTGAAGCATAGCAGCAAGCAGTCGGTGTCCACGGCAGACCTCCGTCCGAGCCAGACCGTTTCTCAGGTGTCGAGGGAGGCTGGGCAGCTGCAGTTTGAAGAAGAAAAAGACGTCTTGCTGAACGAATACGCGAGGCTTCAGGAACAGTTTGTGGCATGGACGCAGCAACTCGAATCAAACCAAAATTTGCTTGAAGACAAGAAAATAGTGCAAAGTGCTGCAGCGTCATCTACCATTACGGCACCGCCAGCTGTCGTGGCTTCTCAACAGTCGCAAGCATCCAGCAGCTCTGCCATGAATGGCCAACACGAAGTTCGAGTTTCCACGTTGCCTCGAGTGAAACCAGTGAGGCCATTGTCTCTAGTTGAGGAGCGCAGCCGAGCCTTCAAGCAGCCTGGTTCGTCCGAACCCACGACTGCACCCGTTGTGAGCTTCGGCACGTGGAAGGACCAGAGAGAAGAACAGAGAGTCACAGCATCTGTAAGCAGCAGTTTGAACCGCCAAAGGGCTGTTGGTGGCTTAGAAGGTGCAGAAGAGAAGACGAGCAAAGCAAACAAATGCGATGCCTCTGCAAAGACAGTGGTGAATTCAAACGTAAAGCCACAGGCGAAGCCCAAGTTAGACACGAGGAAGCCCACGGGAATCCTGTACGCAGCGCCTGTGGTGCGTGGATTTTCTCCAGAGGCCATCGAGAAGCTGTCGCAAGAGGCTTCTCTTCAACAGAAGTTGCCACAATCTCAGGATCAGGCCACACCGCACCAGGAATCGCCAGTGGCTGCAAGTGTGCAGCAGCTACAGTCTTTGAGGCCTTCCAGCAAGGGAAGGGTAACCGTGACCAGCCTGCACGCTAGCTCGGAAAGTTTAACAAGCATTCAGCAAGGTAACGTCACAGACCGGCGTTCACTTCCACCATACCTCCAAAGTGAGATTGTTCGGTTGGCAAAAAAACCAAGTGCGACATCAGAGCAACATCTTCAAGCCAGCGAGAATGCCTCTTGCAGCAACAACAAACCAAGCATAGTGCAGGCCACACTAAAGTCTGGCATCACTGTGGAACCTATGGCTTCATCTCACTCTGTCGTCAAAGTGAATGGGCATGCCAGTGCTGTTGAGGTCAAGCAGGCACAAAGCATGAACCAACCAGAATGCTCCAGTGCGGCCTCTGGGAAGCGGCCAGTGTCTGAATGTGATGGACCTCGTAAGGTGACCGCTGGAGGCCAGTCGAGTTCACAGAGTGTAGCCAGAAATCCACAGGCTTCTGTGATTGGCACCAGAGACATCCTCATGGATGAAATCCGCAACTTTGGTGGCAAGGGTTCCCTGAGAAAGGCAAGTGTTCTCTTACACGTCCTACACTAAAAAAAAAAAGGCCTCTTTTTAAAGTTATCACATGATGATTAGCAAAGAAAGGCTTTTTGTATCAGCATGGAAATGCTTGAACTGTTATAAAATGACTAGTAGTTAATGATATACGACCTTTGAGAGGAGTGGCTAGATAGAATTGGTATGCTCTAAACAATTCAGAACTGCTTTCCATCATGCTGCTTGTCTTCAGTCCTGTTGTCGTGACTGGTACACTAAACTCATGAGTAATTTCCCCACATCTTGCGCAGGTTTCTACAGAGCCGGCCTGGCAGCTGAATGTGTGTGGCCTGCGGTCAGCGTGAGAGGAGTCTGCGCAGTTTTCGAGTACCTTACATCTGGTCGTAGCTTGCTTGTGCTGAGGCACTGCGGCTTCTGAGACTGTCGTAGCTAGTGTCCTTTGCACTGCAGCCTTCACCCGAGTGCCTTCAGTCACCCTATTGTTGTGCACTGTTGCTTGATTGCAAATTGTTGTGTGTGCGTCTTTGATACATGCGGGTCCAAATATTCTCGTGCACAATTGTTGGCATTGCACCTAATTTCATGTCCTCTTTCATGTCCTCCTTCGCCACCGCCTCATGATTCCCTTGCAGTCAGGCGTTGTTGTAGTCTTTTTGTTTACAGCTGGCACTGAGAGTTTAGTTTTTATATATCGTCTTTCCTTTATGTGTGTGCTCTCGAGAGTGGGCATGTTCGTCTCAGCAGGGCTGAGAGTAATTCGTGCCCCAACTTTTGTTTGTATTTTAGCTGCCCAGAATCTGAACGTTCGCGTTCTGCTAGTGCTTTAAACAGCGTCACGAGGCAGCATAGTGAGGAGTCAGTGCCATCGTTGTGAGGTCTGGGCCTCGTGCTGTTTCAGCATTTTATGTAAATAGATATGCATGACTAGAAGAGATGCCTATATGTACGCCTTCTTTAGGGCTAACTGAATTAGATGCCGTGCTATACTCATGGCTACTTCATTCCAGACATTACTTGATGCTTCAGAGACTATGCAATGGTGCTTCCTCGGCATATAGTGGTGCGCTTTTGTCCTGAGCAATGACAGCTGAATAAACCGCGATGTTGTCTGAGGCCTTACGGAGATTTAGATGCTGCAAAGCCGTATAGAAGCGTGTCGTTCCTCTAAGATACAGGTATAATTTCCAAGCCTCCACCAAGGCTCTCTTGCATTGTAGAAATCATGGTAAATGCATTTTCTCTGCGCATTTGCCTGCACGGCTAGCTACCACTACTCATCGAATGGAGTATGGTGAAATCCGTCTAAGTTGTTGAAGGAAGACCACGTGGATGCCAAGCCAAGCCACAGTGAAAACTCTTCGATGAGCCGCTTCCGACAGAATGGCAGCCCTGTCGGGGCTGCATTCACTCGTGGCCCTAAAGTGAGATTCTATTGAGACACAATCGTGGGCATGTCATATGCGAGATTCTTATGTACATAGACTAGTTTTATATCTCGAGCAAGGCAGCTCGCCTCTACCCTCAGAGAGCAGCCAGGTGAAGCCACCTGCTGAGGAAAAAAAGAGGCTTCATGTTCCTTTTCTTTATTTTAATGCAGGGCTTGTTACTGACACCAGTATATTTGTATTGCTCAAGATACCTTTAGCCCAGATGATTTTACCCGAGGTATCATGCCGCATGGCATGGTGACTGTAATATGTTGTGAGGAAATTCAAGATGCGCTTTAATAAGATCGGCAGGTTTAGCGTCCCTTATGCCCCAATAGGCGTGTGAAGGACCTGATTAGATGACAGGCAGTCACTAATTTTTTTTTCTGCTGGGATGTTTTTTGGCAGTGTACAGTATTTATGTTTGAGAAATCTGCTGTACATGCGTGACAGTATGTGCCGGTTGATGGTTCGTTGAAGGAATTAAAAATGGTTAACACAAATAGTGGCAATCTGTCTGCACAAATTTCTCATCTTTGCATGTTTCAGTGATGCATCGGATTCATTTGGAAGAGAAAATAAGTAGCGAGGGGCCACCTTTGCTGCTCTCTTCTTCACTATATTTGCTGTACATGTATGTACTGTGTTTTTACACATATAATCCACCCTTGCATACAATCCGAGGTGGTTGCCACAAATACTTGTGAGATTACGGCTTTACGGTGTACAACTATGGGCTAACATCATAAATACAGTTAACCTTTAGGGAAACTTTCTCCCAAGCTGCCCTCGGGCTACGATTTGATTAGCCTCTCTCAAAGTCCTTGGAAAAAACGCCAGACCTGCGCTGAAGGGGCAGCACAGTCGCAGCGAAAACTAGAAGAGCGACTTTTTAAAGCCTTTTGTAAACACTAGATGGGTAACTGCTGCAAGCACATGTGCTGGGTACCCACTACGGCATTAATATTAATAATAATTTGTGGGTGGTAGACCAGCATTTACTATGCTATTTTTCGTCATTCTTCTGAGAAGCGTTGTATCCGATAAACACTCGCAAGAAGTTTTGTGCAAATTGTTCATGCTGACGATGGTGAGGAGTTATGCCTGAAGTGGGTATGCGCCACACTCAATAGGTGATCAAAAACTAGCTTTTGTAATGGGTTCTAGCATTGGACAACACACTCGTCACGATATTCACATTGTGTGACGCCTCATTGTTCTTTTACTGTTCTGATATGCTTTATTACCCATCAACGCGATTCTTTTTCGGACATCAAGACTGCCTGAAGCGCGTTAGCGAACAAGTCCCAAGCACCGGCAAGGCTCAGTGAAAGAATACTGGGCTGGCCTGCAGCGCATTCGGGTTCGAGCCCCACTTTGTCCTTGGTACCACGTTCTTTTTCTTATTTCGCGATATTGGTTATGGATGGTGGCAGTCTGAGTTTTCATCTCATTAGAGCTTTCGCTGTAAAACATGGCAAAGCTTCACAGCTTTGTAAAGCTCATTATGAACAGTACTCATGGATTGAAATGGGACAATTTAACGTTAAGTAAATTTCGTACTTCTCGTCTTAGCCGTCTTCAATTCGGGTCATATTTGCATAATTTCGGCTCAAACACATAGGTATGACAGGCAATCTCATGTGTAGAGACCAGATGCACCGTGACATGGCTTGTTATGTCGAGCAATCGGGCAGAAGAGTCGTTACACTTAAAAAAAACAAAGAAAATCCACCATGAAATTAGCATCTCAAGGACGAATCTCCAGCCGCTTGTGGTTCGTGCGATCTATTTCAACACAGATGAATACTGAAAAGTTTCTGTCATTAGTAAATTAATTACTCTTCTGCGATTGCACAACACAACGCTTGTGGTGAGAGATGCCAGATCATCACGCGAGAAAACGGCTAAAAATAAATTGCTGGTGGCGAAGCCACGTTGAAGTTCCCCTTCCCAAACAACGTCATGTGACATTTTGAGAGCGTCTACTAGGTCATACGTAATTCGTAGTCAACAAATATGAAGAACACGGTCATCTGTTGAGGCAATGACATGAAAGTACGCAAAATGTGCTTTGAAATCTGTGACGTCACACGTGGGGAGGTTGGCGCGGCATTCAAAAGTGAAACTTTGACCTTGATTTTCTTCGCTTTAGGAAGAGATATGATGGTGAAATTAACTGACATTATAGCCCTCAGAGGATATGATGAGTCTCCACAGTGGGGATTTATTAGTCCAAGCTGGCTCGTTAAGTCTAGTGTCCCTTTCAGAGCTCATAAATGCACTTCGGCCCCGTCATGAGCGTGCGTAGTGTTCTTTATCAGGTGTGAGACAAATACCGCCGAACCCCCCTCCCCCTACCCTTCCTTTGTTCGACTGCGAAAAGAAAGACAAGCTTTGCAACGAATGAAAAAAATGTAAAAATGAAGTATTTGATTTGTCAAAACGGCCTGCCTTTGGTGCCCGGCTTTCCGGAGGTAAGTAACAGCGAGAAATGAACAGTTCTTGGAATGCAACAGCAGTGGTACTCGGCCGCCATTGTCAAAAACTTGCATCGTCACATCACTGACCATTGAACAAACACAAAACTAGGCCGACTCGGTAAAGGTACGTGTGGTAGGCTTGGTGCACCAATAGATGATTAAATGATGCCCCATGGGCGCGGAAATGTCTTATAATTAATTATACTGCCTAAATTTAGACGCCGAAATCGAGGAAATCGAGGGGGGGGGATTCCGTGTTTTGACATAATAATAATGAGATCTAACAGACAATAATGCCAAGTGATGTATAGGGGAAGGTATTAGAACCAATGTAATGTAAATAAGAAGGAAGAAAAGTGGGTGAAAAAAAAAAACTTGCCAAGAGCAGGAATCGAACCTACGAACTTCGACGGGAGTGTCAGTCAGCGCCATCTGTAGCTATAGCGGCGAGTGTGGAACACACTTTTATGAGCCTGTGTGGCGTCACGTAGCAAGTTCACACACACACACATATATATATATATATATATTTATATATATATATATATATATATATATATATATATATATATATATATATATATATATATATATATATATATATATATATATATATATATATATATATATATATATATATATATATATATGGAGGGGGGAACGTCAGGCGGAATTAGTGCTGAGTACTTCGCGTTAAAGCACCGAAACATCGCTGGCTGCTTCTTACCCGCCGCTGTTTCGCCTCTCTTTGATCGCATTCCAGCCACGACAGAGCAAAGCAAGCGCATCGTTGCTTTTGGGTCAGCAGCCGACGCTCCAATCCCAGCCTCATGCTGCGGCTGATCGATGCGGCAAATAACCGCGCATCTAAAAAGCGAATCCCCGCGCTCGCACTGGGTACTTCCGTGCAGTGCACAGCAAGCGTAGGCGCGCCTCATCGCACTGAAGCGCGTCGATCTCTTCGTGTACGCGCCCGCTGCTTATTAACACAGGCACTGACATAGACGTGCCAGCTAGCCTATTCCGAATACTGTCATTTATAATAAATTATTGTGGACTTGCGCTGTGTATACCTAAGCATTATTTATTATTCTGGATGCCCTTAACGGAGCACAGTTTTGCAAGATTTTCTTCGTTCGATAAACTAGAATGAAGCGCGCTGCCTATATAACTTGAAGTTTGATCTGAAATGTTGTAAAAAAATACCGAGTGTGACAGAAGCACTTTAATCATTGCTTTTTAGCCTAATGTCATGATTCTTTTTTACAATTTCGCATTTTTACTGAATGCGTACTTTGCGTGCAGAAAAGAAATGCTCAACAATAATGCATATTGACAGCTTTTATTTCAGCGTCTTGCGGTCCTATATCTGGCACCAAAATCTAAGTTAACTATACTTCAATGGCGTAGCCAGATTTTGATGTAAGGGGATAGTACTGCGACGCCTCTCAATGTCCGAATGTATGTTTGTGTGAATGCGTCAATATATGTACTGAGAGGGAGAGAGAGAAAACATGTATTGAAAGAAGCTTGTGAGTGAAGGTGGGAGGGTCCCTTATTCCAGGAACCCTCTGGCCTGGACAGCCCGCCGCGCTCGAGGGCAGAGTTGAAAAAATTCATTCGTCTCTTTCGTTCCTTTTTTTTTTTCATTGTTGGGGAGGGTGGGTGGAAAGGAATATACCAGTTTACGCGCTGACGTGTGACCCACACCGTACGCTGTATATATAAAAAAAAAACCCCGCCTTCGTTCCTCGAAGCTGGCTTCTCCACATACGTCATATTGGTGCGGAGAAGCTCATTGCATGCATTCTTTTCTACAGGCGCGTGCACTCTCGCCACGCACACGAAAGCAGACGCACGTTTATACTGATCCAGAGACCCGCAGGCCCTCAAGTACGTCCAGAAAAACGTGCACGTATGCTGGAGCACACTGGTACGTGCACGAGGGAGACAAGACTTCGTTCTCGTCCCACGCGCACGGCATTGCGCTCAACGCCGCTATCCTGCTATCCTGCTTACGGGTGCGGAAGCGTTCCCTTTTTGTTTTAGATGCGGAGCATCTTATACTCGCGCCTTGTAGTGCGCCGTCCGCGCCGTCCGCACCGCTTCTCGAACATTCGACAGCTGACGCGCGCGCATGCGCTGTCGCCCACTCTTCCACCATCTGTGCATCCCTTCCTCCTCTACACACCGCGCGCGCTTCACTCCTCCACCATCTGTGCACCCTTCCTCCTCTACACACCGCGTTCGACATCTACAATTCTCCTGATTCTCCAGTGGACGCGCATGTGGCGTCGCGCTTCGAGAACATTCAACAGCTGACAGTGCATGCGCCGTCGTGCTGTATATATACTCAAGGTCGGCGCTCGCTCGCTCAGTTGCCGCTCGTCGGTTGGTTTGTACGGCGCGTCGACGTCCAAGGTCGCGGTGAAATGAATTCCAACGAATCCACAAACACAATGATCGACGTCCCTTCGACCAGCGCCGCCCTTTCGCATACGTGTGTACGTGTTCACTCATTTAACACCCCCTCCTACAACCATGTTAACCAATTTAGCCATCGACCCAAGTAAGTCGCAATTTAACACCCCATTTCACAACCACGTTAACCAATTTAGCCATCGACCCAAGTAAGTCGCACTTTAACACCCCGTTAACCAATTATATGGTCCGCATCCTCCTCAGTGTTCCCCCGAGGGAAGCTGCGGGCAATTTTTGAAGCATGCACCTTCTTACGGCTCGCTAATTCTATGCAGCGATGCGTAAGCCTTGAGACGAGGAGAGGCAGTGGTCAGCACGTACAACTTACGGCAAACAGCTATGCGGCCTATTTGCTAACACACAGAAACTTGGGCGTAGGTAAACCTGCAACGTACTTAATGGACGGCTCATTGAACAGTTCGTCATTGTTGAATGCCGTTTCTTTTTTTTTTAAGTTTGCTAGGGCAAATGCTTTAGATGCCTCATAAAACGCGAGAGTGGACCTTCGGTGGCGTCGGCGTGGACACGAGGGATTAAAAAAAA